GGAGGTCTGAAGGACTTCTATCTACTGTAAGTATCTGGAACTCAGACCTGATGAAGCCTCTTGGATGAGAGGTGAAACGTCTTCAAGGAACTCAAGCAAGTCCAGTTGCTATGGTTAAACTACGACAATAACCGTGACCTGGATGACTGAGAATCTTCACAGACACGTGATGCAGCTTCACAAAACAGTGACTCGTGGCCTTATTGGCTGATATTTAACCACCATCAAATCAGAGGCTACTGAATTATACCACTGCAGCACCAACACTGTGTTCACACCACTAACTTTTATTGTAAAGACACAGACAAGCCAGACACCTCTTGCCTGCAACCACCCAGAAGCCCACCTGTCTGTGCGTCATGCACTCGCGACCCTCGCTGGGCGATCGCGACCAGCGCCGGTCCCGTTCTCGCTCCCTCTCCCGGTCGTGCTCTCTGTCCCGGGAGTGCCGGTGTCCGTACTCGCCCCCTCGCTCTGCTACATAGCGCTCCTTGTCCACGGAGCCGTGGTGGTGGTGGTGATGGTGGTGGTGCTTGCGGTCTTTGGAGCGGCCGCGATCTCTGTCGCGATCCTTGTCTTTCGACGTGAGGTCGCCCGACTGGGTGGTGGTGCTCAGGTCTGTGCCCAGGCCTGACGATGGAGTTGGCATCGAGGTGAAACACAAGGACGTCATTTAACAACACTTAACAACGGGTTGCAAAACAAAATCAGAGAAGATGTGTTTTTTTTGCTCATTCGTCTTAAATGAGCTTAATTCATTGCAGAGTTTTTACATTTTTTCTTTTTTCAATCTGCAAACTGAATTTATCCAAGTTAGAAACTATGAAATTCAAGATTCAAGCTTTTTATTTGCCATTTGTGCACAAACAGATAGTGTAGGCACACTGGAAGTCTTGTGTGGGGATCTCTTGGAGTCGAGTAAAACATTTTTAAAAAACACAAAACAAAAAACACGCAGTCAAAACAGGTCAGCAATGAAACACCACGCGACAAAACAGGAGCAATAAAAGATCAAATACAAAATATAATACATAAATACAGATAAAATAGAACATTTCTACTGCATTTTATATTTTTTTATTGCTTATTTTTGCTTATCTGTATTTGTGGACTCTTTACTCTTTGTGCTGCAACAACCAAATTTATCCTCGGGGATTAATAAAGTATTTCTATTTTATTCTATTCTATAAAACAGTCAGGTTTTGACAGCCCTAAGGCTACTCAATTGTGACCTGCTGCTCCATTAGATTGTATTTTTATTTTATTATTTTTTAAATCAAGATCCCTGTATTCTACAGGTCCAATTTGAAAATTTTGTGAAAAATAAAACGTTTGCAGGAACTTGATTCTGTAAAAAAAAAAAAAAAGAAGAAAAAAAAAAGAAAAATCGTGCGTTCATGAGTGATTCAGCTACGATGAACAGTCACGTGACAAAAATTCAGACTTTCCAGCTGAATTGTAAACACAGAAGCAGGACACTATGGCACATGTGAAATTGGAAGTAGCAAAACATCTGGAGCATGTTGAGTCACTAATTTTTGTTGTTGTTTACAGTTCTGGCAACACCCGTGGGCACTAAAAAAAAATGTAGAAATTTTGTAGAATGAATAATCAAACACATCCAACTTTTGTTTCCTCCCCCTTTTTGTTATTATTTATGGCATTACAACTGTGTCCTGCTGCACAGGAGACAGTATTTTTGCCTTCTCTCTGTTTGTAGCCATGTGAACTGTTTCCATAGAGGTGCAGGACTTTATACTGTTGTGAAAAATGAGCACACAGTATGTGAGAGGGGCAAGACGGGGAGGCCACGTTCCTGCTCTCTTATAAGAATATCTCTACACTGTCTGTAAATGACGGCGGTGCGTCTCACCTGTGTCGCCCTCAGTGTAGCGACAGAGGGACCGCTCGGACGCCCGATGACTCCGGTCTTTTCGGCGGTGTCCGTGTCTGGAAGTCCTGCCCTCCTCGGGTATCGTGCGCTCCATGTTGTAATCGTCCGGCCCTCCTTTGTCCCTGTGGCCGCGCCCGGACCTGCTGTGGCCCAGCGACGAGGCCGAGCGCTTCATGGGGCTGCTGTCGTTGATGGTCTGGTGGGGGAAAGAGAAAGAAACCACCGAGGGATGGAGGGGGAGAAAGAGAGACGCAGGGAGAGGTGTTTCCTTTGACTGACAACTTTCTGTAAGCGATGGCGTAACGAGACAACGTGTATGTGCATAGAAATATATGTGTGAATGGGGGTCCCTCCACCCGCCTCCCTCCCAGAGCTCACCCCAAATCATACAGTCCCACATTAGTAATAATCATGCTCCTTCAAAAATAGAGACTCCATAGGATTTAAATAGCAGGGGTCTGCAAAGAAAAGCCCACAGTCAGGAAATCACAACTAACTATATAAGGAAGATATCAGCATTTCAGCAACATGCAACACAACAGAAATCATAATCATCTTCATCTGATGTTAAAAATGCTGCTTTCTGAAGGTTTCTGCTTTAATCCATTCATCAAAAAAAGCTCTATTTTTTTTTAAACTAAGAGTTCTGAAGCGAAGGAGACACAGCAATCTGGCAAAGATATTTCTTTGTGCATTTTTCTTTAAAAACTCCCACGTCCCTTCTCAACTTTTGATTTGCACAGTTATTAGAGAGACATGTCTCTTTCTTTTAAGCACCGTAGCCTCGGTTAATGAGAGGCTTAATGAATCACAGAGATTACGTCTCATCTCTCCACCTCTATTACAGATTTAAGTCTATGTATTCCAGTGATTTTGGCGTCAGCGTGGGCTCCGCAAGGCCAGTCCATTTAATTTTTTAAAAATCATATTTAAAGAACTGCACGTGTCTCGACTGCACCTGTAAATCTGTGCTGGCTCTCTATAGGTGCAGGGCTAATCTAATTGCAGACCCCTGATGTGGAGGAATAAAAATAAGAAAAAGAATCAACAGAAATACAAGAAAAGATATGATGGCAAATGGCCATGCCTTCCATGCTTCTGTCACTTGCTTCGTAAAAGAAAGAAAGAAAGAAAAAAGGGATAGAAGGGTCAGTACAACTTGCAACACGTCTCCGTCCCCCCTCCCCTCGATTAACGCCTCCAACATGGCACATTCCAGGCTGCAAAAAAAAATAGAAATACTTGTGTTTCTGCTGTTTTTTTTTGTTTGTTTTTAGCGTGCTTTCCTACAGCCATGCATGTACATAGGAGTTGTCCTGAGTCCTCTAACGGCATGAGAGCTTTCTCCTGCAGCGCCGAGGCCTCATGCTCTAATGCAGGACAGCAGGACAGAGCCTATGGTGCCACAAGTTGCTGACCTGGGCATGAAGACCATATCAGGTTACTTCAGTGCTAAATCCTTCTGGAAGCTGAGCCGGCCAGGTTTTGCAGTTATCGCGCGCCACGCGAATTAACATCAGATTATGTGGCCTCGTAGAAATAGCACTGAGAATCCCAACAGCGCATCCATTCACATATGCGTAAATCCCGCCTCTTTCTGTCGTTCTCCCACACAGTCTCACACAAACACACGCGTTGTAAGAAATTTCTGGCATGCAGGTAGGCAGCTCTGAATGGAGACTGGGACGCAGATGGGGGGACCATTGATAGCGACTTCATAGACGAGCACACTGGCATGAGGACACGAAGCAACAAAGCACGAGCAGCAGCTGAGCAAAGAGAGACTTCAGAGACAGTGTCGATGATGAGAGAAACAAGCAGAGTTCAGCCCAGTTCCAAATCTAATACAGAGGAGGAGTTAAAGGTGCTGCGTTCAGCTTGGAAACTGGGCTGGCAAATGATTTCATGCTGAAAAAAACTTTGTTAAAATACATCTTAAAACGCCCCTGCCCTGAAAATGATAAGTACATGAAGACATGACGAATGAGGAGAAACAAAAAGGTCTTCAACACTGTTTGAGAGTGAAAGGAACTGAAAAAAACAAAAAAAAGGAGAAAGAGGAAAAGACAGACAAGACAGGGTACATACACTGAGGTTACTGCCACGTTGCTTCCCTTTCCTCCGCTGCTGTATGAGCACAGAGAAGACACAAACACAGAGCCACAAATACACCAAAGGTATGGTCACACATGGAGCATCCACACAAAACCGGGAGGGGAAAAAGGGGAAGGGAGAGAAGTAAGGAATGATGCGCGATTAAAATATTTAAAAAAGGCGGATACAGAGGGGGGAGGGGGGAGTAAAAACCAAAGGGTGTTAGTTGAAGATGGTGTCACGATGGAGAAAGAGACAGAAAGAGAGGCGGGGACAGAGAGAGAAGGTCTGATTAGACACCGAAGAAGCAGTGAAGGTGGAAGAGAAACACTTACCACAGACACTGGGGGGTGTTTGAGGCCACAAAAGTGTTTTATAGACAAGATCACCATGAGAGTGCTCAATCAACGGCACCACGATCACAACAGCGATGGACGACAGTTAGCCAATTACACGAATGGATACTCACAAACACACACAGACACACAGTGACGTGGACAGTGAAAGCACAGATAAAATATCAACACACGCACACACACACACACACACACACACACACACACACACACACGTTGGTAACATCATGCTGGTTTCCGTCCTGGTTTTTAAAAGAAAAAAGGAAGAAAAAAAAAAATCCCCCAAAAATTCAAAATGATCAGCACTGGGGAAAAAAAACAAAACAACCTTCGACAGGGAGGAAGAGACAGTTTAGTGAAACCACACAAAGCACAAGAGATAATAAATAAAGAAGAGGAAACAATGTGGTGCAGAGAACTTCATATGTGTGTGTGTGTGTGTTCATCAATGTGCCGTGTGTGGATGACAACCAGAGCACTCACCAGGATATGAAACGATAGAAAATGAATGAGATGGAAAACAACCACGATTTAGAACCGTCATGCGAGTGGCAGGTTGAGAAGGAGGAGACGAAAGACAACAACGGGAAGAGGAAGAAGGAGGAAGGAACAGAAGGTCTGACTTTGCCTTTGCTATGGTCCTTTTGAATTCGAGCTTGGAGGTCAACATTTCAGCAAAACATTTCCATGTTTTACCCGGAAACATTGTCGTGATAGGACGGTCACATGGCGGCCACATTACTGGCTGGTTTTTGGTTGAAGCCATGTGACCTGATTAGTGGAATTTGCCAACTGCGGCGTGAACGTGCAGAAGTCCCTTTAACCCCGTCCCAAAGTTTCTCCAATCTGGATTCGAGCAACCGCAGCAGCAAATCTTCAAGCAACGAGTCAGAGCTTTGTAAATGCGATCTTTCCAAATCAAAGGAGATACGAAAACAGACATAATGAGGGGGGGATATAGAAAGACAGTGGAAAGGTGAGAATGCTGCTCACTTGGTTGTCGCCTGGGAGGCGGGGCATGGAAGCGGCCCTGCCGTGGCCTTCCATTGGTGGAAAGTGCTCAGTATCCGAGTACCCATCCTGCCCCATCTCTCTCATCTCTACCGTCTGCAAACAGAGCAGGAGAGCAGGAGATGGTGTGACTGGCTGCCATGAAAGCTAACGGGGACAGGTGGAAAAGTTTGTTATCCAGAGAAGAGAACTGAGGCTCTCAAAGTGAAGTCAGTGGGAGAATTTGGTGAGTGTGTGTGTATGGCGATTGACTTAATTCTTAAAATGTTTTAAATTGTGCAAATGAATGGGGGGAAAAAGGGGAGGGGGGCTGTTTAGATCTGATGCAGATAAGACTGCAAGTATACTCCAAACAAAATCCAATTTTGTGTTTGCTGCTGTCAATTGTAGTTGCAAGCAGATGCGGGCGGCAGAAGGGTGACTTTACTTTCTTTAATCCCGGATGGAGGAGCTCGTGAGTCACAGCAGGGATGGATACGAGAGGAAACCATGTGCAGCCCAGAGTTCATGTGGAAAAACACACAGCTGATCAAATGAGGATGTTGATCAGGTGCAGGTACTGATGCACTGGAGGCAGTCAATGAGGTCATGTAAAAAAAATGACAACTGCTTCGGCAGGTTAGCCAAATTAGCATGTTGTTTTGGTCACAATCATGCAAATTCTCCCTTTGCAAATATGCAAAATTCCATTTTGTTTGGAGTATACGGTGAGAGTCGGAGCTGAATCCGACAGCCGGGGTCGCTGGCTCGGCCTCGTTCTTCTCACTTGAACAGAGGTGTGGCCGTTGTTAGCCGCTATGTGCTGCGTCTACAGTTCAGTGTGTTTAAACTTCTCCAGACCTGTGCTGAGCGAAACGGCTAGGCTGCTACGGAGAGCTGTCAGGCAGAAAGGTTTAACAGCATGAAGATAGAGATGTGAACCACTGTGAAGAAAGAGGCAAGATGGACCTCAAATGAAAGGCGGAAATGCACGATGAAAGATAAATTCAGTACGATAAAGAACTATTGTCAAGAGACAGGCCAGAGGACGGTCATGTCAGAGACGACTGGAGAGTTTAAGGTAAGAGAGACTGTAGGAAATAAGAATGACTAATGGAGAGTTTGGTTTTTTGTTTTACCTGCCTTCTATACCTTGTTTTTTTAATCTGCTTTTTATTCAACTTGTTTTGTTCCTGTTCTTATCTAACACCCTGTGAAGCAACTTTGAGTATCTAGAAAAGCTCTACACAAAATAAATGCATTATTATCATAAGTAATAAATCAATGCAGTAGCGATGGTAAACATGAGCCTGAACTTGTCCAATTAAACGCATAATTCAGTTTATACACATAATTGTGACTCTACTGGAAAATAGTGCACAAACCATGACACACGCTCATCATATGTAGGCTGCTGTACTTCTCAGTTATAATAAAATAAAACAGGCATTCATCTAAATCATGTAACAAACTGCAACCTTTAGTGAGTTTTACCATTTACATGTGATAAATTGCTCGTTGGGAATTTGTAGCAAAAAACACAAAAATAAAAAGCGAATGTTGAATGGATCGAAACACTCAAACCTGTGCGTGACAACGATGCGTTTTGTGTTATTATCTGTGCCGCCCTGTGTGTGTGCGCCTTTCACGAGCGTTCTACCTGCGAGTTGCTCATGCTTCCCAAGCCATCCTCAGGGTGGCCCTCTGGGCTCCAGCTGCCGACCTTCTGGGATATCTCCTGAGCACGAGCCGTCACCCACGAGTGGCTCTCCGGGACCCCCCCCTCCACCGGCCTGCGACACACAAACACACCGTCACGGATGCAGCTTCCTTCCTACCCCCGAGGGCGTTTCCTTTCAACAGACCGCAGAGTGTCGACGACGTGCGACTCACAGGCTGTTGACCGTCTCCGTCGTCTCGGGCGGAGGCAGAGCGTTGGTGAGTCCCGGACCCCCGTCCTGGGCGGGGGTAGGCGGTTCCACGCGCTGAAACAGTAATGGCGTTCGATTCTGTGTGAGATATACAACATGGCCGTCGCCAGCTATCAGGCAGACTGACAGGGCAATGAGGGGTAAAGGGGCAGAGCAGGAACAGAAGGGGGTGGGGTGGGGGTATAGAAAGGGGGCAGTTGGCCGAAGCGAAGCCAGGCAAGATAACAAGGTAATGGAAGGGAAGTAAATGGGGAAAGGGAGTCTTGAGCAAAGTGATGCCCAGCAGCTAGCAGGAGGAAGAGATGGAGGGACTCAGAGTGCAATCTGGATTCCAAGCAAAAGAGTAAGGAGGTCAAATTCACAATAATCAGGGATTATTCTGGGTTTTATCTTCATATAAAAATACAAAAAAAAAAGTTTCCAGAGCAGTGGAAGGAGAATTGGAATTGATAAAAAGGGAAGCAATAAAAAAAAAAAGAAGGGCCCCATTCAAAAGGATGAAGGAGGACATCATAAACACTGCGACAGTCCTGTGGAGGGGAACATACAGCAGGTGAAATGCATGATGGGACAAGTCAAACATGGATCGCATTCGCAGACATTCATTTATTAGCCATCCACTGAAGAAGGGGCAACAGTTCTGCCTACTGATAAGCTTTCACTTTCTAAAGTGGCCTTTTATTGGACAGACATGCACAAAAAAATGTCAAGTAACTCGCTTCAAATTCAAAATCTGTAATTTTGGGGTTTTTAAAGCGTCATTATTTTGTTCCTTCTATTAAAATCCAAACCTCCCATTAATACATACATGCCCAAGTATATGTGTGCAAGCCTTAAATATATTCTAAGGTGCAGCTCATTTAAAACTTTCAGATGGCTGTCTGATGTGATGAGAGCTCTCAGTGTGTGCACCTACAACATACAGTCACCCGCTTCTGCCGCTGCAGTCGACACAGGCGGCAGCTTAACAACGTTTCAGGTGGTTTGGGCCGAGGAGACGGTGGAGATGATGTATGGCATTCGTTAGGGGAGAGACGGAGTACCAGTGAAAGTAGAGTCAGTAAAAATAAATGATAAAAAAATAACGTGCTGCAGGAATGTGAAGGGATCGGGGAAATGAGCAGGAGGAAGGCGCTTTGCTGACGGTTAAGGGCCATTTTTTGTGTGCAATGAAAAAAGAGGTTGAATGCAAATGCGTATAGTCCGACTGGATGATCCTGTTGGGATGACTTCAGACAAAAACGATGGAATAGAGCAAAATGGATCGTCATTATGTCTCCCGTCTCTCCTTTAACCAGTGTGCTAATCTAAGGGAAGGGAATCGTGCCGTAGTGCGATGCTAACAGCCCAAGATTACAAGCATGGGTGATGGGGGAGTTTGGAGGAACAGTTTCTGTACAACCAGCTGATAAAAGAAAGACATGAGCTCAGCACAACAGGCCATAGTGAGGGTTCCAGGGACATTCAGGTATGAACACCTTTGGGGCTGTGACAACACTTACAAATAGAACCTGATGTATTCAGGTTTTGCGAGTCATCTCATGGATCTCGTGTGAAGTGACTGTAACAATGTTTGCCCAGAAGATGGCAGCACTGCCTTTGTTGTTGAGGAAGGAGACTGCGTTCAATCGAGAACACAGTCTGTGTGGCTTTTTGAGGTGACTGAATCGGGACTCCTCCCTGATCTGAACAGAGGCTGTCACAGCCCAGGTTTGTAGAAATGAAGCTACGGACCTGTGGCCTCGATTTCAGCACGTCAGTCTGCCTTTAACTCTACGGGGTCGGATGCGAGAGAGAGTGTTACTTTGCTACAGACAGCAGTACCTGCTCGTCCCGGAGAGCCTGCGAGCGTTTGATCTTGCTCTGCCGGTAGTACTCCATGATCATCATGGCAGCGTAGATTTTCCCCACTGTCAGGTCTGTCGCTGCTGAGAGAATGACAAGTTACCCTGCAAGATTAGACCCTTTTGGTATGGACCCTGAGCGCGAGGAATGGTAGGAAGGGGTGAGGCATGCACACGAAGACGCACTCGCACCCACAAACACATACCATACTCGCATGAACATAGAGCAAATAGTCTTTTCACTGACAGATAAATACAAGGAAAAACAATATCTTATTTATTTCTATATTTCTTCTTAGAAGGAGAAGAATCGGTCTCATTCCGGTGTAGATCATGCTTCGTTCAACAAAATGCAGTCCTTCCAAATAATTAGGATAAAATCTGTGGCATCTTTGGGCTTGCTTTGCAAATATATTGCAAATACAGAATCGATTTCGTAGCTGTTTTAATAGCAGGCCTCATGCACGACGAGAAACAAGAGCGACCGTGGCTTTATGCTTTGGCACCTGTGCGTTCGGCTCTCAGTGTAATCAGCATGAAAAACATGCCATCGGAATGTACAGCTCGCCTACAGAGCGGACGGCCCTGGAGTGAAAAGACGTCTATAGAGAGTTGATCTATAGTCGGGCACCCTCTGATCTCAGGCACAAAGAGGGGGAGCAGTGTTGTGGTCGGTGGACGGGTGGAGGGTCAGTTCTGGTGGGTTTGGCTTCTGTAAGCGACAGAAAGGCCAGGAGTCACAGTCCTTCCTCGCACCTACAGAAACTACAATCCCCAGAACAGATCCGTGCGTGCATGTGTGTGTCTGTAGCTGTTTGGTGTCTAACATGCAGCCTGTGTTTTCTCAGTGCCTCTGTTGGTTTCCTCATGTTCACCTCCTCCCGTCTGTGGCTGTGTGAAGGTGATGTGCTGGCGGATTCAGAGGGTGCAGCAGTGACAAAGACTGACTGAGAGAAGCGGACCTCTGGTGGCGTGAAGAGAAACAACGTTGGAGCACTGGGAGGCACGAGGCGGTTGAGCCGAGCCGAGCCGAGCCGAGCCACGCTGCCGTGCCTGCACCCACACTCTGCAACTTACACTTGTGCGGCGTCACCAGCAAGTCCAGGGTCTTCTGGGAGAGGTTGGGCCAGATCGCCATCATCTCCTTCCTCAGCTCTGCGTCCATCTGGTGCTTGTCGATGCCACCTGGGTGTGTTCAGGACAAAACACATGCACACACGTGAGCGTTGGAGCACGGATGCATCCGAGCACACGGACACAAATGTTCAATAAAAAGCTTGCTCAGAGACAGAAGAGCACACGTTATTCAGAACCGTTCAGATTGACGCAAAAAGGCAAAAGACACGACATACAAACATGAAAACAACCAAACAGAAAAACATTAATAATAAATAAAACTGCACACAGAAAATTCACTTTCTGAGTATTTTAAATTAAAAGGATCTCAACCTTCAGTCGCACATACAAATTAGCA